GCTGGGATCTGTACTCCAGAGGTGATTCTACAGCCCCATTGCTGAGAGAAGGCAGCTTATGTGGAAACCCACTGCCAATTTGCAGGCACCAATTTCTACATCTAAACCAGCTACAATGCACTGGACGTTCTCCTCAAACCATAAATAGCCAATCTCTAACTCAGTCTACACATAGATAACCTGTCTTCTTACATGTGTTGGACTCCCATGTGCCTAGAAAGCAAATAGTTCAGTGGAGGTGCCTGAAGAGCCCATTTAGTTTCCTGGGTCTGTCACTTCTGGTAACTTTGAAGCTTCCTAAGCAGATTTTGTCTCATAATAGTGGTGAAAAACAGCACCGTCCCACCTGGAGTGTTGTGTCCAGCTTTGGAGTCCTCAACACAGGAAGAACATGGACCTGTTGGACCAGGTCCAGCGGAGGGCCATGAAGATGATCAGGGGGATGGAGCACCTGCCCTATGAGGACAGACTGAGAGAGCTGGGGTTGTTCAGCCTGGAGAAGGCTCAGGAGAGACCTTATAGTAGCCTTCCAATATCTGAAGGGAGCTACAGGAGAGATGGGGAGGGACTCTTGATCAGTGAGGGCAGTGACAGGATGAGGGGTAATGGTTTTAAGTTGAAAGAGGGGAGATTTAGATTAGATATTGGGAAGAAATTCTTTCCTGTGAGGGTGGTGAGGCACTGGAAGAGGTTGCCCAGAGAAGGTGTGGCTGCCCCATCCCTGGAGGGGTTCAAGGCCAGGCTGGATGGGGCTTGGAGCAACCTGGTCTGGTGGGAGATGGTTGGAACTGGATGATCTTTAAGGTCCCTTCCAACTCTAACCCTTCTATGATTCTTTTAGATACTGATTCTTTTAGATACTGATGGTTAAAACTCTGACACTGTTTATACAGAACACCCCCAGAGCACGTGAAGTCCTTTTTTTCAGTCCCATTCCTTTCAGGCAACATGGCATCAGTTCTGTTTCCTTCGGGAAAGCTGGCGAGTACCTGAACACATGAGGCCAACAGTCCTGATTGTGGCTCCCCATCTCCAGGCCCACGTTAAGGACTGCATCCATACACAAAACATGAGCTGTGTGCAGGCAGACTCCCTGCACTTTCCCCATCTGCTCCAGTTTCTGCTCCACTTTCTGTTTCACTGCAGCACGAAAAACAAAAATAAAAAACCAGCACATTAGCTTGTCCAGCTTTTAAACAAACACTTGTCTGCATATAGAGTGATGGCAAAGGAATGCAGTCCGAAATCTATAAAAGAATGTGGATTTTAGACAAACAACAAATCAGAGAAACCCATTTCCTCCTAATAAACATAAGGCAGTTTTAAAATTAAAATTCCTTTTGATTGACATCTTCTATGCATGAAAAAAAATAAAAATCAATTCCAGATTGACACCCTCCACCCCCAAATTCACATCTTGCTGCCCACAGAACAGATGCAGATTGCTAGTGATATTATATGTTTCTCTTTGGAGCTGGTTGGCTGGCTATTTATGATTTTTACCAAAATCTCCTTTTCTACGGAAACAAAAATAAGTTTGCAGATTTCACAACTATTTCCATACAAACGTTTCACCAAAGAACTTTTTCTAATGGACACTCTTGTCAAAGCAAAACTAATCCTGGTCTGAACTACAAGCATTTGGACCTCATTCATTTTCCTGAGAATCTCTGAAAAGCTTAGTTTTCATGCTGCATTGGAATGGAAACAAATTCTGAAGCTTTGCAAGCTTTCACAGAACAGATCTGTTGGCCTCTGGCCACCGCTACTGCCTCTTCTTTGCTCCAGCGTGGCCTGGCCAACTCGTTTCAGTCATTTCTAGCAGAGTGGTCAAAAAGCCAGTTTGTGCTCAGCTTTGTTTTCTCTACTCAGACACCAAATTTAAGTGCCAAGCAGGGTGATTTGTGCAACGCCGTGTTTTGTTACGGGCTTCTCGCCATTAGAATTCAGATGTCATCAGACACATTTTAGGTGCCTCTCCAAACAGCCACTGGAGACAAAAATTGACTTTACTGACTTCCACTGGGGTTGAAGCAGCGGTATAGAGATGCAGAACTTTTTACATGTTACACACGTATAATTTTTTTATTCCAGCCTCATTTAAGATGATTCAGAAACAGTTTTAAATATCTGATGATGACAAAAGACAGCCAAGGATGTATATGCAAGACAGGAAGAAGGATGCAAACTAGGCTTATATTACTACCCAACACTTTGAAAAAAAATATTGTTTTTCTGATGCCCTCTGGTTCAGGAAGAAATTTTTTACTATGAGGGTGGTGAGACACTGGAACAGGTTGCCCAGGGAAGTTGTGGCTGCCCCATCCCTGGAAGTGTGTTCAAGGCCAGGCTGGATGGGGCTTGGAGCAACCTGGTCTGGTGGGAGGTGTCCCTGCCCAGGGCAGGGGGTTGGAACTAGATGATCTTTGAGGTCCCTTCCAACCCAAACCATTCTGTGATTCTATGATTCTACTAGTCTCACAAGGCTTAAAAAGTCCACATTTCAAAAATGCTGTTGGCTTATCTATTGTTCCAATGATTTCAGTACCAGATAAAGTATAATTAGTGGGACAATGTTAAGAATCTAGAGCAGCAGGACATGTACTTTACATGCCTCTAGACACAGAACCCAAGTGAGAGGTGCACAGTAGTGGCATTCCCTTCTGTACTTCTTCTATGTGTAGCAAAGTAATATCCAGTTGCACCTTTGCAGGCAATATGTTACAAGGCAGGCAATTTAATCACATAGTTACCTTGAGCTATAGTATCACTGGGCTCTTGGATTTCTTTTTCTTCTTTCTCCTCTTGGACACAGGAAGCAGCAGCCATTTGGGCAAGAGCAGATGCACAATTAGCAGCAACTCCTGTAAAGCAACAACACAATTAGTGTTTAACCAGCACCTCCTCCCCAGTCCCGTGCAATCTCAACAACAGGTTGGGACAAGGAAAGTTGGCTGAGTATGTCCATGCTGTAGGGCTGGTGGGCTCTATGGGGAGTCATGGACAGTTTAGGTTCCTGTCCAAGACTGGAACAGGTTGCTGCTTTTCTCTCTCCCAAATTCCTTCAAGGAAAAGTCACCATCCTGTTTTGTGAGTCTGCATTACCTAGAGCACAGCTCAGCCGGGCTGCTCTCCTCAGTCCATCCAGGCTCACGCAGATGGAGTCCTTCTCCTTTTGGTTCTGCTCCTTGGCTCCTTCTGCTCCCAAGATGAAGGCCAGCCCCTTGGAGCTCCCCGCCATGCGGCCGGTCAGTGGTGTGGACAAAGTGTCGATCAAGTTTTTCCAACAGCCAATTAAAAGGTATCGGGCAAAAGCAACTCCTGGAGTGAGAAATACATTACTACTACTACTGGAGAATGACATCGCAGCAGTTTTATCCTCAGTGGTAAAAAAACCAAGTCACATTTGTCCTCTGCGTGCTGGACCACCATTTCACGTGTGGGATGTACTGACGTACTTCCCTCAACCCTTAGGTTCTTTAGGTTCTAAAACACAATTTATCTAAATATGCTTATGGTATGTAACAACCCCACTGCTGGCAGACACACTTGTGTTTATAATCCAGTCTTAATACCTGCAACAACGGAATCATCTGTCTTCCGGTTTTGGGAAAGCGGAGATTGAGCTGAAGCAGATGCCATCAACTGGCCACCAATTGCACTGCTCCCCAAGCCATCGATGTCTGCCAGAACATGAAAAAACAACAGATTACTATTCAACACACAGATGGTATAAGGAAAGCATCTCCTACTGGCTCTTTGTTCAAATAAGCACTAGCACTCCTGACTCCTCAGGTATACATTTTAGTTGCTCTTTTCTGGCAGGCTTCTGAAGCCTTGGCATAAACATGAGCTGGGGCATTGTATGCTTTGCTCACTATAACCAACATTTGCTTGAAGAGGGGAAATATCTCATTTTGAGAGTGAGATATTTCCCCACCCCAATGTTACACAGTCAACAGAACCCTCAGCAACGACTTCATGGTATTTCTTACATGAATGACCTTCCCACATGCTTAACGCTCCACATTTCTTAATATAATAGTTCAAATCTTGCTAAATCCTGTATCTAGATGTTCCCAGACCTCAGGCTGAGTCCTCAAGATGCACTGGGATCCTATACCTGAAATGTGATTTTTAGTAGACTTATGTAGGTTCTCATACTGCATTGGAATGGAAACAAATTCTGAAGCTTTGCAAGCTTTCACAGAACAGATCTGTTGGCCTGTGGCCACTGCTACTGCCACTTCTTTCCTCCAGTGTATCCTGGCCAACTCGCTTCAGTCATTTCTAGCAGAGTGATCAAAAAGCCAGTTTGTGCTCAGGCCTGCTCAGTTTTGTTTTCTCTATCAACATTTGCTTGAAGAGGGGAAATATCTCACTCTCAAAATGAGATTCTGAGAGCGAGATATTTCCCCACCCCAATGTTACACAGTCAACAGAACCTTCAGCAATGACTTCATGGTATTTCTTACATGAATGACCTTCCCACATGCTTAACGCTCCACATTTCTTAATATAATAGTTCAAGTCTTGCTAAATCCTGTATCTAGATGTTCCCAGACTTCAGTCTGAGTCCTCAAGATGCACTGGGATCCTATACCTGAAACGTGATTTTTAGTAGACTTATGTAGGTTCAATCTCAACAAAAGAAACACAACCCTTTCTCCAACAGAACAGAATCACAGAATGATACGGGTTTGGAAGGGACCTCTGGAGATCAGCTAGTCCAACCCCCCTACCAAAGCAGGTCAACCCAGAGCAGGTTGCACAGGAACGTGTCCAGGTGGGTTTTGAACATCTCCAGAGAAGGAGACTCCTCCACTTCTCTGTGCAGCCTCTTCCAGGGCTCTGCCACCCTCAAAGTAAAGCTCCTCCTCATGTTTAGATGGAACTTCTTATATTCATGTTTGTGCCCATTTCCTCTTATCCTGTCCCTGGGCACCACGACAGAAGACCAGCATTATGATGTTAGGCATGTCAGGTTGATTTCCTTTCTAGCAGTGTGTCTCTGTCACTTCTCCACATACTTTATGACTATTGTTTTACCAAAGTCTTTCTTTCAGCTTCTCAGATCTATCGCTAAAAGCAACACTGAGCCCAATACAGCCAGCAAAAAACTTTCAGAGCAGTGCCCTTTGACTGCCAGTTAATGGCTCAGCAGAATCCAGTGTTCTCCCTGTATATACTGTTTTAATTACCCCTTTGTAATCGTACAGTATACGTGCTCAAGCAGACAGTGCATTTTTTATCAATACAATATCATAGACATCCTGCCACCTTTCAGCTGACACCATTTGATTTTTGCCTCAGAGGAAGCTAAGGGTTATTTTTAAGTGTTTGTTAGAGGCGCTGCAGGTTTTCAGCATCTCTCCAGCACCAGTTGGCACATCCCTGGCACAGCACAAATCTGAACCAAGGGGAACCCAAGCTGTGGAAGGGGCTTCCAGGATCAGATGCCACTATCTATATTTGTACTGCACCACGGCTAAAATGGCTTTGCTATGACACTGAGAAAACAGCAGCCTTATCATTTACCCAGTCCCTAAAAGGGGACTACAGGAGAGCTGGGGAGGGACTCTTGATCAGGGAGCAGAGTGATAGGACAAGGGGTAACAGTTTTAAACTGAAAGAGGGGAGATTTAAATTAGATACTAGAACAAAATTCTTTCCTGTGTCGGTGGTGAGACCCTGGAACAGGTTGCCCAGAGAAGCTGTGGCTGCCCCATCCCTGGAGGGGTTCAAGGCCAGGCTGGATGGGGCTTGGAGCAACCTGGTCTGGTGGGAGGTGTCCCTGTCCAGGGCAGGGGGTTGGAACTGGATGATCTTTAAGGTCCCTTCCAACTCTAACCATTCTATGATTCTATTAACAGGCACCAAGTCTACCAGAATCAAAGCTGACAGAATTAAGAGATGTTTTGGTTCAGTGAACAAATTTACTCTTCCTGTCTCCCAGGGACAGTTGTTTCTAAACCCATGCATCAAAAGCTTTCTGTCAGATCCAAAACACATGCTCAAATACCTGCCACAGTTAAGTTTGATTCCTTCTCTACCAGTAATTTTGTGAAACACCACATGTTGTGTGACTACATTCTGTTCTGCATGTAATGCAACAAAGCAGCATGGTATTGTAGCTCATTTTAGACATGAATTTGGAAGTTAGCCTTGCCACCACAAGACAGCACTGACCGGTCAGCATGGTGATAAGTGGAAGGCTGTGCTCTTCAGGGCTTCCCCAGTATCCAGCTTCCCCCAGCATGTTCCTTTCTAGTACCTGGTGGTACAGTTCTTCAACCCAGGTCTGGGAAAATACCATCAACACTCCACTGGACTGGACCTGCTTCATGAACTCCTTCTGCAGAGAACCAGAAAAGCCAGATGTAAGACAACAGTAAGCCCTACAGCATGTGTCTCAGCTCCTAGATCTACTAATCTCAAGGCAATGCAGGAGTAGAAATGAAGTTATGCAAAAATAAGAATTAACCAAGGATTGCAACGTGTCTCTATGGTGGAGAATAACATGAACAAGAAACTTTCCCTTCTCTTACTGCAGTTCATGCAAGATGCAAATCATAATGACAGTTCCTGCAGGGTGACAATAGGACACGCCGATCTCTCACTGTTTCCACAAAGTAGGATCTCAATTCCCATGGGAAGAAGTTGTGGCACCTACTGCTGCCTCTCCAGCAATCAGGCCCTTCTGCATTGAAGAGTCACCACACAAAACTGGGGTCCAATTAGAGATCTGAATGATTTTCAACAATACTTAAGCCATGCTCAGGTTTGCTGTGCATGGTGCTGCCCCTAGAGAAGGCTCTGAGTCACAGATTTGCTCTTGCAGCTGCTGAAGAACATACCAGAACTGACGATGATGATAAAACCCACTTGTTTTAGAAGTCTTATAGAATATAAATTATCTTACATGGAAAGAAATGGCAATAACGGTACATTTTGACAGGTTGTTTTTTTTTTTTTTCCATATATCACACCTTTTTTTTATTTTTAGGAAAACTCTGAAATGACTTCTTTTGGGCAATTTAGTTGAAAAACACAGATTCGTGTTTTATAACTCCTGCAGCCTTCAAAACAATTTTTAAAAAGCCCAAGAAGCTGAGGAATCCCAGGCGCCACAAAAATCATCAGTTCATATTACTAAAACCCAATTATTTTTCACTCTGACTTCTCATGTCTACATCTGAATAAATACAAATCAAGTATTAAGTAAGACGTTTGTCATTAGACTCAAAAGTAGTTGCAAGATGAAAGAATGTCCCTTGATAACGTGCACGAACAACACTTGCTGCATCACGCGACGCTAACGAAGATCAGTTCTGAAGACAGAGCATCCATCAAAACGACTGCTGCTTCAGTGATGATTAGTAAGCAGCATTAATTCCTTCCCGAATTACAGAGAAGCTGCGTAATTTGGATGCATGACATTTATCATGCAAGATTCATAAGCAGCTTGGAGAACGCTTCATTTGCAATTATTATTTCTCCACTTCGCAAGGAGCCTGAAGGCTTTACGTGTGGGCTGAAAGGAAGCAAAACAAATTTTCTTTTTTTTTTTTAACAGTTTTCCCATATTCCCCAACTCACCAGCAACACAGGGGCTTGGGCAGGCTTCTTTCTGTAGTAATCCGAGTTGGCCAATTTTAGGTTGAGCAGCAGAGTGTAATGTGAGACCATGTAGAGGCTGTCTGCATTCATCAGAGTCTGGAAGCTGAAATTTAGGTTTCCCTCAAATCCTGGTGAGTGCATCATACCTAACAAAAACACCATGTGAGCTCTCACATTTTACACAGATTTTTGCCTGGAAAAAAAAGAAGATACCAGAAACTAACCCTAGCGTTTCAGCAGCAACAGATCTGCTAGAATAGTTAATGAATCATCAGTAGAAATTACTCTATTAAATGCACTATGGCAGGGAATAGAAAAATAAGGTCTCCGCCTAGAAATGCGGTGCTGCAAGGCAAACTGAACACTCCAGTCACAGTCCAGGAAAGGAACATCTTAAATTTGGAATACACGAGGAACACTCGCGCTCGTTGGGATGGCTGCCAGGTGCAAAGCAAAGGGCAGGATCTATCTGCTGTTCTGCCTGGAAAGGTGAGGTGGGAGAGGCAGAAGCAAAGCCTTCGTACTTAACCAGAGTCTCCATCGCACCCAATGGTGCTAATGAGGGTGATGGTCCTTTTAACCCCCCCACCAAGTAAATCTGTCCCTGCCTAAGCGAGTTGTTGGATGGGGACTGGAGTGCTCGGCACCTTGCAGGATATCAAGTTTAATTACCATTTTCTCCACCGCCTAGAGGTATGTGGATAAATATTTGGGGCCAAGCTGGCTGGAACTTGTTACAACTCCAAGGCCTGGTTAGTTCATACAAGACCAGCTGGGCACTTGAGACTCCCTCAGACCCATGAGCCACCTGGAAGGGCTCAGTGCTCCTCAAAAAACACTTTATGTATGAAAAAACAGCCTATGACCATGCCCAGTTGCACAACCCCTTCTTCCCAGGTGGGGTGGACGGCACATACGTTTTCCTCCGAGTTAGCTGACCTTCTGGTAGAAAAGCATAAATCAAGGATGATTAATACCTAATTGAATCCCCATCATCTGGTAGTTTGAGCCGTGAAAAAACCCAGAAATATTGAGGCACCTCACGTGACCCACAATATTTCATGGTTTTCACGTCAACTGTGAAACCCATTCACGTTGTGTCAATTAGGGAAGATTACAGAGTAAGCTTTATCCTAGAGGAAGGTTTGTAATGAAACAAAAAAAACCCCCAGCTTCCAAGGTTAGTTACGTGATGAAGCAAAGCTGTGTCATTTGTTAACTGCTGCAGTGGTTTACTATGAATATACTCCTCCCACCATTAAAGTTCATGCCTCTTCTTAGACAAAATGCAACAAACCATTAACATTAATTAAAAAATAATAATAATTAAAAAATAAAAATAAAAATCAATCCACACACAGAAAAGAAGCAAATGTTTTTCTTGCCTCGTGAGGGTTTGAAAGCTCTGTGCTGCTGCCTTCTCGGACTTTCCACTGTCGTCACTTTGGGGGCGTGGATAAGGTGGGTAACTGTTTGAGGGCGGATTTAGAGAGAGAGTAACTGTTCCAGGGTGGGTTTTAAAAATGAGGTGGTTTTTCAAGGGAGCAACCTTTGTGTTAGAGGGGGTGCCAGGGGCAGGCCACACACCATACCCACACACGGGTTGCCACGTGCCCCGGGGTAGACTTCTCGTGGGCAACGTTAACAGAGAATCTTTATTTAGCACCAAAAACTGCAATCATGACGTGCTTGAAAGTGGCCTGTGGGTAGCTCCAGCGACTCCTTCATCAACTGAAGGCAAAGATGCATCTTAACACTTTGTTGGATGGAGGATCATGATGTTGATGTAACTAGAATATATTGATTTGATGCCTTATCTCTCTTAAATATGTATCTTGGGGACTAGAATCTGCTAGAGTAATAAAAACCTCAAGGCAGAGAGGTATGTTTAAAAAAAAAAAAAAAGCCCAGCTTATTTTGCATTAAAATATTTCAAAAAATGTGCAACCTCCTTTACAAGACTACAATTAAAAAGGAAGGTGTATAACTGCACATAAAGGTGGCTACTACATAGTGGTACATCAATAGTAATTAAGCGTCCAAAACCATTTGGGGAAAATACCCTCCCTAATTTCTTCTAAAATATGGGAAAATAAACAACGGCATTAGAGAGATGATGAGACCTCAAAAGCAGAAGATGCATAAACTCACAACAATGCTTAACAACATAAAACCCCTGCTGCTAAAACCTATGGAATCAAAGCTGAAAAGAGGTGCTAAAAATGTTTGCTATGATTATTCACACACAGTTTTTAGAATGAATGCCTTAACTATTCTCATGAACTGCAGTGTGTTGTCTGCATTAAGAGACTACTAATCAGCAACTTTAATTACAAAATCTGCCAGCTTTAATAAACAATAAGGTTGGCTCCCTGTCTTAACAGGGACAACAGTTCATTTAAATTGGCCAGTTAAAAGCAGGTCCTGAAAAAAACCCTCAAACTTCATGTTTTGCGCAAGTCAAGATAACGCTGGGAAGTTTTAGATAATTCGGTATTTTTAAACATCACACTCCAGTGTCACTAAGGAATTTTTTGGCATTGGTTGTCTCTAGCCACAAGGAGGAACTTTCTAAGGAAAGATAAAAACTGTAGATTAGGAAGGCTTTTAACCAACTGACTTCCAAATCTTAGTTTCACTATAACTCTGCTCAGCTGACTGCACTTTTTTCTGCACTTATACTCCTACGTCAGCGCCTCAAATTCCTACCTCCTTTCATTGCTTTTCAATCCTATGAAAACACAGTAATACTACAGTACTATTTAAGCACCTAACTTAAAATGAAACAAAGCAGTTAAACAAGGTCTCTCGGAAACACAAAAATGCTGCTTCTGTACTGGCTGGTCTCCAAAATGCACCCGCCCCCTTTCTCAACTCAAATCTTTAACAACGTTCAAATTTCCTAATATATTCTTCAGGAGTTATACATGAATAATAGACATTGTATTTGCAAGGAGTAGGACCAGTTCCTCTCACTTCATCACCTAATTCATGCCTTGAATTGTTGGTGCTACCAAAGGAGTCCTGAAGGACTCAAACCTTGCCTGTAGGGGCAGATCAGACTGATGTCTTGGAAGTTCTCTGGGGGAAATTCTTACCCCCAGATATGTGTTTGAACTTTAGTAAGTCTCTCTCTCTAGAGGTCTTCAAACTCATACCTCTCTCATCTCCAGAGGAACACAAGTCCTCACCTCAGGAGGACCGATGGACTTTTGCTTAAGATCTGAGGTGCAAGTTAAGGGGCTGTTTCAGCAGGATTGAGTCTCATTCCAGGTGTCCAACTGAAATATGAACTGCACAGATCTTGCGAGAGCATAAAATCACAACTCTGTAACACCCACAGTCCTCTGAAAACACCAGGATACCCATTCCAAGCTATTTTAATGCAATAACCTGCTAATATTATTTATCCATGATTCCTTACTGAGTGACATCATCTAAGAATATTTCACCAAATCAGACTGATGTACAGTTTTAAGTACAGATTTACCCAAGGAGGTGGCTTTCTTAGGAAAGTAAAAAGTCTTTCTCAACTCAATAGTCTAAGTGCAAGACTAGACATGTTTTTACAAACCAGAAATTATGCAGACATCGAGTGATATTCTTCCCTCTTTCTTGCTGTATTAGTCATACTGAATGACAACAAAAGCCACGTTTAGAAGTCTGCTAAGTCTAGCCCTTCCAACATCGAAAAATGTTCTAAATGGATTTGATGGATAAAAGACAAAAGAAGTGGCATATTTATGCACAAGGCAGAAAGGGCACAAAAGTCTGAGTTCTAGTCCAGGGCTTTTGGCATAACCTCAAGATGGCTCTTTTTCAGGAAAAAGAAACCCCTTGTGACAGAAAGGATGCTTCTGAGCACCTCAATCAGGAATGCAATTAATATTAATGTCCCCTTCAAGATATCTCCTTTCTGTGATATAACATGGTCAATGTTTCTTAAGAACGTCATCTACCATCTTCCTGAGTTAGGGTTTATTTGGGCAGCATTTAAACAGGATATCAGGAATATCAGCTTATTCAGCCAGCTTCATATCTAATTATGCTAAAATATAGATGATAGGAGGCATCCCTTCTGACTCTGTATGAGTTTAATGTGTGTGAGAGCGCACAAATGAATGAAGCAATGATCAGGAGAGGAGCAATAGGAAAAGCAATTGTGGTGAATTGAGTTAAAGAAATAGAGAAATATATTTTAACAAACATTTCCACTTTGGCCACTGTCAGGAAAAAGAAACCCTTCTAAAAATATATGTATTTAGACACATTTTAAATATACTATCAACAGCACAAACTAGCCTGTGCATGGCATGGTTTTTTTGATAGACCAAGTCAAGATCCTAAAGGTTCTAACCCTGAAAGAACTGCAGGTATTTAATCTCTTAAAAGGTAAGATCTTTTATTCTTTTCACTTGGTCTGGGCTTTGAGCTTTGCATTTCCTGTCATGACAGATAGCAGTATTAAGAAAAACTAGAGTGAAGAAGAAGAAGAGAGTCACTCCTCTTTTCTTATGCTTTCAAGAACTTAATGCTGTGGAATTTTTATTACCTTCTTTGCAAGGCTGGCATTACTAACAGTAATGCAGTGATGTACTAAGCTATTAAAATCTCTTTCAAACAGGTGATGGTCCTCCCCACACCCCTTTCATGCCAAGGGGCAGCCCCAACCTCTCTCTAACGACAGCGTGTGCAAAATCATCTCAACCGATCTTCACAAACCTGTGAAGAGGTATCTTACTGCAGAAAATGTGATTTTTCTGTTGACTGAGGACATAATCCAGAGC